CACGTCAGCTAATCCAAATACTCTAATTTGATATATTACATAAAAAAATTATATATATATATATATATTAATTGACTGCCGACACATGACATCAGGCGTCTATTTACAGAAAAACCTTACGAACAGTTCAATTCCAACGGAAGTGGCCGGTTTATGGCCTGTTTGGCATATTTTTTATTTTTGTTTTCCGCCATGGAAGAAGAAAAGTAAAAATTGTGATTTTTCTTAATAGGTCAAAATAATTTTTAAATTTTTTAAAATAAACAATAAAAGTATTAAAAGTGAGTTTATAATATCTTAATTAAACCCTGATATGAGTGTTAAAGTCTATTCAAAACTTTTTTTTTAGAAGTCACAATTTTTAACTTTAATTGAAAGTTCTTTTAAAAAAGTAAAACACTTCTAACAGATCATTCAAATACTTCTAAAAGTAGTTTTTGAACTTAAAAAGCTAAAGTCACATTTACAGTGTGTTTAGTAGGGTAGAAAAGAGAGAGGAAGGATTTTGTAGAGGAAAATCGAATTTTATATTGTTTGGTAGAGAAGAAATAAAGAAGGAAGGAAAATAAAAATATATGGAGATCATCAATTTTTAATCCTTCTAACTTTGGGAAGAAAAGAGGAGGGAAAAAATTTGATAAAAAAATTAGATGTAAAATAACAATTGTAACTTTCATCATGCATCATATTTTTATTTGTATTGAGGTTTATTGTAAAATGCTTTAAATTTGACATTTTTTTTTTTTACTTTTCTTTCTCTTCTACCAAACAATATGAAAGAAAATCATTTTATTTCATTCACCTAGGTATTTTACTTCTATTTCCTTTCTCTTTGTTATCAATCCTACCAAACATAATATTAATAGGCTTTTCCAAATAGACCCTCAGTGGGTAATATTATCTTTTCTTTGAGTGTTATTTTTGTAAATAATCCTTTTAACTACCAATATAGTTACTGCGCGTATGTGTCAATTGCTGGTGGAATGTCCACTTTAATGCGCGTACGTGCCCCAGTGCTTGTGGAATATTGTCGACCTTAAAACCTTCGTGGAAAATATAGCCATGGTTGAGGAAAGTTTCAAAGTTTTATGTGCAATGTGAGTCTAGATTTCACAACGATCTAACGCGCCGCCCTCTTTCACTGGCCAGGGTCCTTGCCGCTGATCAACTGACAATAGGATATATTCGTTTTAACTACCGATGGTTACCGTCGTTTTAATCATTGAATAATATGTATAATGGTCTCATCTGTAATAGTAGCAGTTTTGTATTGTGCCCTATAAACTTTTAATGTGAATACTTTCAAATCAAATTTTTAAAAATTTAATCTAACAGTCAAAATAATAATAACTATATGTAGTTAAAAAGAACATATTATCAGCCGCGGAAGATGTTCCTAAAAAGGACATGGGAAATAAGAACTCTCTAGTTAGGACATTTTTTCTTTTTATAAATGTATACCTTCACCACTGAATATGGGGATACAAAATAATTATTATTTTAGATGACTGAAAGATTGTCATATTGATCATTTGATGTACAAAATGAAAAAAGAAAAAAAAAAAAAAGGACAGTGAAAGTTCTTCTTTTTGGTTGACAAACCATTGTACCTTATAATTATAACAGTGGTCGCACTTATTTAATTAACTATCATTTTGTGAACTAATCTCATTTGTATTATAATACGAAATGTTAATAAATTTAAATTTTTATAAGAGGAAACACCGTAACAAAAACTTAAATTATGATTCGAACCAACGAGATGAAGAGATACGCTTTGCATGTGATCTTAACTAAAATGAAGAGTTTTACTTTCGAGCTTCTATATATAGCCCTAAAAACCTGACCAAAATGTGAAACCATATTATTCTCGCATGCATACACAAACATATATGTGTATATATATGTATATATCATCAGACCACTCTTTCATATATATATATATATATATATAAAAGGTTGTTTAGAGAGTTTGTTGGAGAAAAAAATTTGCTGCAGAGAGGTTGAGAAAATGACAAAAAAGTAGAATATGAAGGCTTGGCATGGTGGAGCTCTGTCCGAAGGGAGATGGCACCTGGTCTCCGCTCTATATCATACATATAATATATATATATGTGTGTGTGTATGTATGTATGTATACTTCTTGTATATATGTATTCTTCTTGTATACATGTATATAGCTAGCACTAGTTGCCATCTCCATTGGGCAGACCTCCCCCATTTATATGTCTCGTATACTATGAAGTTAGTTAAAATTTATTATGGGATATTTACATTTTTATATCTTAGGTTGCGTTTATTCAAAATTTATACATTCGGTTTTTGATCTTATTAAATATATACCTTTAAATTTTATTTAATATGTAAATTTATCCCTTATGTCGGTCAATAATTGCTTTTGACTTTTAAAATGATCAAACTATCTTTAAAAAAAAGAGAGAAAATAAAAATAAAACTTGTAACACTACAAAAAATAAAAATTAAAAACACAAAAAAAACCATTTCAATGGTATTTTAGATTTTTTAAGGTTAAAATTGTAAGTTTAAAGGTTTTTTTTATAGTTTTTTTCTTTTTTCATTTTTATATAAGAGTACTTTAGGTATTTTATACTTAAAATCGAGAGTTGACTGTGAAAATGTATAAATTTGAATATTAAATCTAATTTAAAAGTATACTAAAAGTATAGTTTTTAAATAAACCGAAAACACAAGTATAAAATTCTAAATATCCCATTTATTATTAATGGTCTATATATGCATACGTCTATGTGTGTTTCTGCATGTATATATTAAAAGATTTACGTTTTTTTGGTTGCTAAGGTATCATAATATGTACTTACTCATGCATAATTCTATGTCTAAGACCACACACATAAATATAATGCATAGTGTGTACTCTAATCATAGTACAATACCTTGCTAAGGTATCAAAATATGTGCTCGCTCATGCATAATTATATGTCTAAAACCACACACATAAATATAATGCATAGTTTGTACTCTAATCATAGTATAATACCTTGGTTGCTAAGGTATCAAAATATGTACTTGCTCATACATAATTATATGTCTAAAACCACACACATAAATATAATGCATAGTATGTACTCTAGTCATAGTATAATGCCTTATGACTAGCGTGACAAAAAAACGATTTTTTTTTTTTTTTTTTTTTTTTTGATATCCCATTTGTTTTCAAAAGGTTTTTTTTAGCATTTTTTTATACAAGACGGGATCACCCACAACCTCTCCCAAATCCTACAGTGCCACTAGACAATTGGTCTTAAGCGATTTTTTCACATTTTTAAAGGCAAGTAGTTTGTAAAGGATTCCTAAATAGCGTTTGTTAAGTATGCATTTTTGAAAATGACTAACAAAATTTCCAAAAGATTTTCATTTGTTGTGAAGAAAAAGGAAAACATCCAAAAGTTTTTTTTCCTTTTCCATTTCCCTTTTCTAGTTTCTACGACTTATCAACATTGTTATATTAAATAAATTATAATTATGGATTAACTATGAAATAATTAGTTAATAATTACTAGTAAAATATACTAAATATTTACTAATATATTTATATCAAATAGTATACTAATTATTAATTAACAATAAAATAATTATGAGTAGTTAATACACTAATACACTAAATATGATTAATTAATTGTTAGTTACTACTTATCAATTGCTTAATATATTTGTAAATAAATTATACTCTTTAATTAGTAATATACTAATAATTAATATGTTATTTTCTATTATACAAAATATTATTTAGTAATTAATAGCTAATTATTAAATATTGAACTATTAGTAACTAGAATTAACATTAGTAACTAAAATACTAATTAATTCTACTCAAAAAATACAAAGTAATTACATTTTCTTCAAGGCAATCCATTTAAGTTTTAGAGTTTTAACATGTTTTTTATACATAAATTTCATATAAGCCAGGCACAAAGCTAAAACCAGAAACAAGAAGGCAGTCCAAAGATGTCAAAGAAGTATAATAAAACTAAATACACAACAATAATATTAGGGATACCGACTCCAATCCTAATTTTTATACCAATTCATAAATTGTGATTTTCTATTAGTAGGGGCAATCTACTGACGTGACAATCTTTTAAACATCAACGCGGTAAAAGAATGAGAATTCGAAAGTTGATACAAAAGTTAGAATTAAAGTCGGCGTTCTCAGCATTTTTCAAGACACAACGCCTAAACCAAGTTAGAGACTACCTCCCGAGAAGCCCCACAACCACCTAGAAAAGGAGTCTTCGGAGAGATAAGGCCCGTTGGCTAAACCTGTGTGCCACAACATTTCCGGAGCGGCGGATCCAACGGAACTCACACGACCTAAACCGATGCGCAAACTCCGCCACCTCAAGCTGAAGGTTAAGCAACTCCCACGCACAACTCGTAGATTGATCACTGAGCGCAGAGATGACAACTTGAGAATCCAGTTTAAGATGCTTCTTAGTTGATGCATTAGTGGTCTCCTTTTTAAAGTGTGCAAGGACTGCTGCTTCGTTGATTCTTTCTCTTGCATTGCATAGTTTGGTTCTATTTGGTTGTTTAATGTCAACCTGACCAAATATGTGAATCGGCCTGAGCATTACGTAAAATGTATTTTTGTTGACTTCTTTTAGAGATCTTTAGTTGACTAAGGGAATTTCTCTTGCACTTTTTTTTTTTTTCCTGACTTATTATTCCTTTTAGCTTATCAAGATTTTGAGTTAATATCAACAATTTCTTTATCTAACAGTTCTTTGGGAAGTAACAATTTTGTTTTTATCTTGTTTAAATTAATGTTCATGCATGGAAACCTTAATGTAGAAGTATATCAGAAGAGTTGTATGCTTCTCAAAATTGATGGAAGAAGACTAATGGTGATTGCTTCTGTTTGATTATTTTACAAGACATTTGCGAACTTTTGAATTCTTTTCACTTCGACACTGGCTTGGTGTCGTCCCACTTTGGCGCCTGACGCTCAATGACACGTCTGACCAAACAACAATTTCATTATTTTCTGCAATCAACTTCAAAGTACAAACCCCACCAAAATCTATCACTCAAACTAAATTATAAGAAAAGAGAAGTTTCTATTGTACAATAATCTCATGCCATTGAGCCAAAACAGCTCTTCTTTCTCTCACTCTCTCGCCATCGCTCCGTATGGAATTCAGATATTCGAAAATTTACTAGAAAGCACTCAGAAAGCGCAACAAAAGAGAAGAAAATAGCAGCATTAGAACGCTACATGGGTGCCTCAACCGACTTGCAAAGGAAGAGCCGGGTGAAGAACCAGGACTAGGGCTTGGGGAAGCAGTCACGCTTTCCTTTGAGCAAGTGTAGTTACACCGACTTGGACGAACCACTCTATAGACGCCATTGCTGGCTAGGATGAACACGTCCTTCTTGTTATCCTCCCCAAATGAGAAAACATAGCCCAAGTTTGGGAGCGTACTTCCTGGGACAGTTCCACATTGTATAGGAGAGTCAGCCGCACAACTGAAAGGGATTATACTGCTGCTGAAGTTCCCACTATTTTCCGGGTTCTCGATGGCTGTCCATATGTGGCCTGCATACAAATCTGCATACAAGTACCTGAAAGTAGAATTCCAGACATTACTAAGGCCCGTTCATTTCACTGATTCGAGTTTAAAATTTGAGTTTTGCTACAGTCAAAAGCTCTCAGAAACAGTCACATTTAATTTTTTTTTACTATAGAAAAAAAGCTCTCACATAAAGTCACATCTCAACTCGAATTAAAAACTTGAATCGGCGAACTAAACGAGCCCTAAGTATCAAAAACATTGCAAAGAAGGGTTTGTGCCTTACACATTTTCTTCCATTACTTGGGAAGTAATAATTTAGTTTGAATCTTTAGTCTTCACTAGTCAATCATATAAAGTAGTAAGTAGATACTATTGAGTTGTGGAGCCTAATTATGCACTAGCAAAATTTTATTTAAGGGTAGTTTGGAGATTTCACATTTATAAATTCGGTTGTTCTAGTTTTTTCTTATATAAAGGGGACGCCGATTTAGGTAATTATTAGAGAGCAAGAAGAAAACATAGAGTTGTAAGGTGTGTGATTTTTTCTCTTGTAAACTTCTTCTTCGTCATAGCAGCTGTGGAAAGAGGATGTAGTCTCAATTTTCCTCTCAAACCTCTATAAATTTTGTGTGTTCTTTCTTTATTTAATTTCTTTTCCGTGACTTTATTACTCTCGGTAATTTAAAATTAGGGCATCTAATTCCTAACGAATACTGCAATCTTAAACTTGTCATTTGTGTACAATGTCAACTACTACAAGTCTCATCTATTTTGAGGGTAAATAGAAGAGAAAGAAATTAATTACCTTTCATACATGCATGGATCAGTCTTGGAACGATAGACATAACCCCCAGTTATAGATGCTGAGCCTTCCTTTTTGTTTACTTCAGAATGGTTGTAACCCAATACTGGGAAAATTAGGCTTGTGGATTGCAAAGTTGTATTTCCACCTGTGAGATTGAAAGGATAAGGACCCTCATAAAGACGCCAGCCATAGTTTCCACCCTTTGTGATTAGATCCACCTCTTCATAAACATCCTGTGGATAACAATAATTGGAAGTGTCAGAATATTTTCCACTTAGATGTCTTCTAGTGTCCAAACTAATATATGCCGTTTTTAACTGACACAAACATATCTTTATTGTAAAAATCAATGGTTTGAAAATGACTTCAAATGAGCTATCATTTTTTTCATTATCTATTGGCTGCTGTTTGGGGAAGGAATAAAAGTATCCCTCGGTACATAAACAGTCAGATTTTCATTCATCGAATTATGTTAAACTGTCATACTTTTCTTAATCTAATATGGTTTTGATGTGATCTGACGGCAGTGATGTTATTTTATCATACCCTACGACAGAATTCTTCAACTTCATAACCTCTGTTAATTGAAAATAAATCTATATGAACTAATTTTCTAGCTATCAGGAGAAAAATATTCTTTCTAACCTGCCCAACATCAGCACATATGAAATAGGAAGGATTTTCCGAATCAAAACTGCAGCGCCAAGGGTTTCGTAATCCTAGAGCCCATATTTCTGGCTGCAGTTCTGGATCTTCCCTGAATGGATTATCCTTAGGGGCAGAGTAATTTCCCCACAGACCAAGTTTATCAATTTCTGCCTCACCTGGAAACAAATCACCAGCGTGAGAAAAGAATAATGACAACGTGACTTGTGCAAGTAAATCAGCTTCTTATCATACAGTTAAACCACCAAGTTCCTTCATATTATAGAGCAAAGTTGAAATCGTTTTTATTTTTTATTTTTTTATTTTTTATTTTTTAACAGTAACTTATATTCACAAATACTCTGTGCTGTACTTACTTGGTATGTTATCAACATCAAGCCTCATAATCTTTCCAAGCAATGATTTCTTATTTTGTGAGAAATTGTAAGGATCACCACCTGCACCCCCACCATCTCCCATCATGAAGTATAAATACCCGTCCGTTGGCCCGAAGAGTATTTGACCTCCATGATGAGATGTAAATGGAAGGCCCATGGTAAATATCCTTCTCACTTCTACTGGTTTGGCACTTGTTGCCTGTAAAAATGATACAAGATCTATTAATATGGCAGGAATATTAAGCAATAAATTATCTTGTTTGCATCTAGAGTTTTACCAAGGAAGGTTGGGATGCAGTGCCGTTTGCTGTATACTCGGCTATGACGGTCTGGTACTGGCATGGCTGAGCGCCGTTATCAGGAGCTAGCTTTGAAGGATCACAATTGACATCTGAATTACATGAGCATCTTCCTGTACATCCTGGCCATTTGGCCTTGTCACAGTTGAATGAGGCAAAGAAGCGGCCATTTTGCGCAAAGTTCGGATGAAATGCCATGCCCATCATTCCGAATTGAGTATCAAAATGGACTTCATCGGTTAGATCTACAAAGGGACTGGACTCATCAAACCCCAATGTTCCTCCTGATCCTTCTTCAGGAATGGTTGCCAACCAAATCTTCCCTTCCTGGCTAGAGAAGAATGCGCGGTTGGACCCGTCAGGATGAGCAACCATGTCGAGATAAGATCCATTACCAATTTTTTCAAGGCACAAGCCACTTGGTGGGCTAGGAGTACCAGAGTTATTCAGAGTGACAGGTTCACCACCAAAACACACCGAGTCATCAGAAGAGCCTGCGCCAAAGGCGTTGCAGAATTCAGTTTTCGACTGCCAGTTATCAGTCAATTTGGTGGCATTGGATGTGACTTGAATGTCTGATTGAACCAATCGAGGGGAAAAAGGGGAGTTCGTTATGGAAACGTTTTGGCAGGTGTCCCACAAATCAGAGCAAAAATTATCATCTGCTTGGCTAGACTGGAAAGAATTTGCTGCAACTGTGGAGTTGCACAGCACAGGCACCGACCGGGTTACAGAATTAACTATGTACAGTTCAGCTGAAAAAGGATCACACTTCTACAAAAAAAATCCAAATAAACACATGGTAAAATCTTCAATCAAGTTGGGAGAAGTTAGAAAAAATCTAGTGGAACAAAGGTGAGGGTGTTCCATATATAGAAATCCATACATAGCTATTAGATATGTATGTGATTGTGTATTTAATCTAAATAGAGGAAAAGAAAAATGGTTTTCCAGATGAGACCATGAATCTCATCTGGGAGAGATACACGGAAGAGAAACGAGAATCAGGGAATGTTCAGAACAAGATTTACGTCACAAAGTGACACTTATTTTGAGGTAAGAAGATTAGAGTTTTAAGCTTCTACAAGAAAAGGCCAAAAACACAGAACTTTTAGAAGTATGTTGTTAGAGTCCGCGTGTCAAATAATAAAGGTAGAAAGCATTTCTCTAAAGCGGAAATACCACACATCCTTTTGGAATACTCAACTACTATTAGCCAATAAAAGCTTTTAGAGATGCAATGACCTATAAAGGACATGAAAACATTGAAAACGTGTCAGATAAGAGAGTCTCACCGAACAAATTACTGATTTTACAAGAGAAACGCAGGCAAGGTCAGAGATGTTCATTGCTTGGAATTGCTTCTGCAATTGTAAATCTTGGGTGGAGTTGCAGCATGCTGTCCCATTGTATGGACAAAACTTGAGTGGCGTTTTCAGGGTTGAGGGTGCTCCTACACCAAATCAGATTTACACCCATGAGTCTTTTCCATATAATGAAAAATCCCAACAACAAAAAAAGGTACTAAAAGAAATTTATAATAAAACTAAACAATTCTGAGCAAAAGAAGAGAAGCCCACTTGAATTGGTGCATAGAGGAAGTGAAAAGGATTGACCAAACAGTAGTAGAAGCAACAGACAAAGCAGGAGAGAAGTAGCAAGAAATCTCCCCATCACAGCAACCCAACAAAGAAAAGATTTTCAGCTAGAGCATCACTCCTCTTAATCTGAATTGAGGAAAGAGAAAAACAAAAAATAATATAAAAATATATTCACAAAAGAATAATGACAACCCTGTCTTTGAACATTCAAAGTATCTGTTTTTTCTATCCACTATTGGCCCATCTGCACGTTCTGTCTCTCAAAAAAACTATATAAAAAAAAAAAAAAGAATCATCTTCCAGAAGGGAAATCATTTTCAAATCTCCATCTTCTTCACGAACTTATTATAAATGTCCACTTGAGAACTTCAATAATAGTTCTCTCTCTTTGACTTTTATCTCAAGAAAAATAAAAACTTTTGCTTTCATTTCAATCAAGCATTGAAGAGTGAGGCAGTCGAAATAGGAGTCGACTTTTGCTGAATTTATTTATCTGAAAGCAATGGAAGTGGTTGAGAAAGAAAGAACACACCTGCTTTGGCTTGAAATTCCAACTTGTGTAGATCTTGGTTGGTTGGTTGGTTCTCTTCTCAATATGTGTCTTGTGCCTTCATTTATTACTATTAGTGTGTACAAACCAGCACCAAAGTCCGATAAGGGCAAGTCAAAAGGCATCAAAATATATTAAAGGAAAACAACACCAATTACATAAGAGAAACAAAGTTGAAACAAAAAGGAAGAAAATTGTGCGTCTTCTGGATAGATATGAAAAGGGCCATCCTCACATGCTCATCACTCATCATCAATGTATGATAATTTTTTTTTTTTTTTTGGCATTATAAGAATAAAATAATAACTGGGTCAAGGTCTACTCACGTTATTTTATTCAGAAAAAAGTAGCTGTAGTTTTGGTGACCATGTAATAGGACAGAAAAGATGTATGTTTTTCAGGAAATGAGAAAGATGTGTTTGCGTGTGTGTGTGTGTGTGTGTTTTTTTTTTTTTTTTTTTTTTTTTTTTTTTTTTTTTTTCAGATTTTCTGTGAAACTGAACTAGTCCAATTAATTATTACCTTTTCTTCTCCAACACAAACAATGGATCCCAAAATGCAGACAAAAAGCTCGTGTCAATTGTCAGTTAGACAGTTGGATTATTACACTTTCTCAACTTTTTGAGTAAAGAGTAATCTCATTCAGTTATAAGGATGGTAAATGATTTAGGGTTGTTCTTTTATATTTTGGAATTAGAGTGATTTGAGTGATGATTTTAAGTTAAATTTAAATAATAATTTGAGTTGAAATTGTAATTTAAATTTATATTTAGATGTACACATTTGAGTTATGATTTGAATTGAGAATCTATTTGAGTTTGTGCTTAGATAGGTTAAAACTTAAATTTGTATTTAGATAGTATTTTAATAAAAACTCAATGGTGATGAAAAATTTTAATAGGGTATATGGATGGGGTTTTATTCGTCTTTTCGTTGTGAATGCATAGAAAAAAAATCATCTCAATCAGAATTAAAATGAAAAAGTTATGACATTTTTAAAAATAGAAAAAATATTGTTTATTAACTTGAGTTCGAGTTTATAAACTCGAGTTGAAGGGGAAATTTGAACTCAAATTTAGCCTCAAATTCGAGTTTAAACTTAAATTTTACAAAAATAAAATATGAACTTAAATAAAGTTGTAACTCGAGTTTAATTTTTCTTTTTAAAAGTTTCATCGTAAAAGAACAACTCCTTAGTCATTATTCCCCGGAAAAAAAAAAAAAAAAAAAAAAAAAAGCTTTGAGGACAAGGTCAACTCCTCTAGTCCCCGATTTTCTAACTGTCATTTACCGATTCTTTTGAACTTGATGTGTTACGTGTTACTTATTCAGTGGCTGAAAACCATGATTCTTTAACACTTTTGAACAAGATCTTGTTTCTTGTTAAGTACATCAACATTTAACACCTGTGAGATTTAATAACGACCAATTCATCCTTTTATATTAATTTTTATTTTCTTTTTTCCTCCCAATAAGGATGCCAAAGAATCCTAAATGAAGTTAGTGGGCGGACATGTCTTTTGCATGGTGAAGTCATTACATAGTCAAGTTAATGATGAAGTGAAACCTAAGACAAGGAAACAAGGAAACATAGAAGAAGAAAATCAAAGTCTATGCCTTTCTTCAAACAATAATATTCTAAAGACAAAGGAAATAGAACGATGTCCATATTGTCTCTCACGAGGGCCTCAACTTTCTATGGCATCATGTAGACTTGGCACGGCTTGGTCGTGCAACTCTCTATAAACACCTGTGTTTGATGAGAGATGAACATCTTTTTTTGTTATCTTCTGCCCAAGAGTAGACATTTCCCGGATCAGGAAGACAATTTCCGGCCTCGGTGTTGCGTTCAATTGGCGAATCGCTGGGGCATTGAAATGGAACTTCGGAAGTGGAGAAGTTGCCGCCGGGTTTAAGACTTCTGCGCCAGCTCCAACATACAAATCAGTGAAGAAATACTTTGAATGGCATGGACGAGCATGGTTGGTCACATGGCAAAATGAAACATTGGAAATTGGTAGGAGGGAAAGTGAGAATTTTAAGGTGTGTTTGGAATTGATTTTTGTTTGTTTTTAAAAAGGTTTTTACACGTCTTTTGAGGCACGAAAATGAAAACAGTATGAAAACCGTGATTGTTTAGCAAATGTTTTAAAAACGAAAACGTAAACAAAAAATAGTGAGAATAATTTTTGTGAAAGAATTAGAAAACGATTAAAAGTTATTTTTTATTTTCCGTTTTTATTTTCTAGTACTTCTCAATAATGTTATAATATATTAATTAATAATTATAACCAAACACGATTTCATCTTTTTATTATACTCAAAACAATCTCTTAAAAAATTAACTAAATGTAATTTTAGAATCAGTTTCAAGATAATTTTTAAAATAATCTCATTTTTACTTATGTATTGAAAATAAAATTATTTTAAAAACGTTACGGGCCTTTAGATCGCAATAGCACCAAATTTTTAGAGCACTCACGAGTCGGGCTGCATAGATGTTGGCCCCAGAAGGTGGGCTCCATAAACTGATGGGCCCCACGTGTTGTGAGATGCAACAGTTTTTAGTTTTTAACATAAAATGACCAGTAATGTCCCCGCTATGGGGAAAAAAAATTGTGGTTTATGATAAATTGGCGTCTTTAGCATTACTTTTTAGATTGAGCGGGAGAAGCAAACCTTCCATAAATGCACGGATCAGCTTTTGATTTATAAAATAGCCTCCTGTCATACAGGCAGATACAACACTTTTTTTTTTTTTTACTATGTCAATATTCTCATGTTGATCCAACATCAGGAAATTGACATGGAAAGTGTTAAAAGAAGTACTTCTGCAAAAAGCAAGAACTTCATACAGAGAGAATGTCAAACACAATGAGCCTTAAGTGTCAAATTAAAAGTAAACTCGAGAACTAAAGAGGAATAATAAAAAATTTCCTGGTGCCTACAATGTGAACTCAGCTGATGGTTTTTTTTTTTTTTTTTTTTTCCTTCCTTTTTGAGCATCTGAATTGATTAGGAATGTTCCTGAATGAGCTTGTGTAGTGAAAAATCCAATGATCATATAGTAAAGTTTCTATTCCACTTGAAGTTCCTCAAAATCTCTAACCAATCATGATGATGCGTCAAAATCTGGCTCACTACAAAGAGAATAAGACAGGACATTCTAGTTAATTACAACATAAAATAAAAAATGTTGACAAATTTAACTTTGTGCTGCTCCACACTATATCAAGATTAGAACCTGCACGAGACTATGTAAAGACAATGTAGCAGCATTATTTTTACCGAAAGAGAATCGAACTTGGTACGAATCGTAGTGAACTCGGGGATAACACTATGACATTGGCATGCCAGAACACCTCCTTCTGCACCAAGCTCTGATGGATCACAGTTCACATCTAAATCGCATGAACAACTTCCTAAGCACCCTGGATTCTTCATCTTACCGCATGCAGTTATATGAGAGGGAAACAACTGTTTAGCAGAAATTTGGGATAATACCCAATTGGCCATATTCAGGACCCGTTTAGTTCGTTGATTCGAATTTTTAATTTGAGTTAAAATGTGACTTTATGTGAGAACTATTTACCGTAGCAAAAAAGTTAGATATGACTGTTTTTTAGAGTTTTTTATTGTAGCAAAACTCAAATTCTAAACTCGAATTAATGAAATGAACGGCTTATCCGAGATAGCGAAAAAAGATGGATTCAATTGATATCCAAAATCCCATCACGGCCCTCATCAGGAATAGTTGCCAACCATATCTTACCTTGTTGGTTGGAAAAGAAGGCTCTGTTGGAGGCATCACGATGTGGAACCATATCAAGATAAAGCCCCATTTGCCATTGCCAATCTTCTCAAAGCACAGACCCTCTTCTAAAGGCAGAGGAGCACCTTCTACTTTGTCATTTGAAGAGAAGAGAACAAAGAAGAAATGATATGGGAAACAGGAAGGGAATATGTACGACACCAATTCTTCTCTTCTTGAGTGGAAGAAAACTGATGATAATGAGAGAAAGGACCAGCTCAATTCTTGCAGTTCATTTCCTGGTCTCTTTTTTCTCACAGATTAACGCGTATTTCAGATTTGCAACTTGAAATATTTATCTAGTTTATGGGAGTTCTCAAGACATCCTATTGGATCAAATACTAATAGAGCTTCATTAGCCAAAAAAAAAAAAAAAAAAAAGCACTAGTAGAGCTTAATTAGATTTTGGCGATGGCGGTTTTTCTAAGATTTTGGAGATGAAGGTTGTTTTAAAAGGAAAAAAAAAAGCTGATTTTAACTAATAGCAGATTCACATGTTAGACTGTATGAGACCATATGTCATAGTACGTCTTAGAGTTAGACATGTAAATTTTTAATTTGTTTAAAATAAACCGTGATAATCACCAACAGTGATATATAGCGTTGCTCTTTTAAGAGACTGAATTCAATTTATTTAGGGAGACAATGACAACATAATGAGGCTATTACAAATTTACAAATCAACATTCATACGCTGGATTTATAGATAAATGGCACGCAGGTTTAGAAAAGTGTTCCTCGTACTACTTTCTCCAGTCTTGCTTTCGGGTTTTTGCTATTATCCCAAGAGCAATGCTATAAGGCACTGATGGTGCTACACATTAATAAAAAGTGAATTCCGTAACATGAGACTCACAAATAGAACTCACCGTCTATTAGTGATGGTGCTTAGCACTGTTGACGCCCCTAAGCATTTTTCTTATACGAAATAATATTTTCGCCTGAAGCTTCAAGATTGACTAATTTTCATTTTTATTCTCTATGTATGAAAAAATCAGAATAAAGGGTAGATGCATAAGCAAATAGTCAAATTTTGCCACTGAAGAAGCAAGAGAAGGAAAAGTAAATATAAGAAATCTCTTCAAATGTACTACAATCTCAAATTTGGCTGCATATATGTTGGAGCTAAAGGGCAATAGCCCAATAAAAAATAACTCGTATAGAGAAAGTTCAAAAATTTGTAAACTCAAGCGGCATTAGTACAAGAGAGGTTTCTGAATAACACAATCAAAGAAACCCTAAATATCTTTGGTCAATCCCCTGTTCCACTTCAAAGAATGAACATCTTTGTATCCTTTCAAGTGCACAACGCCTCTTTCCAACGGGCTCCAACAAAGCTTCTCGGGATTTTAACTTTCAAGTGCACCAAGCGCTTTCATGTCCTCCAGGAAAGCCATATATGAGTCGTCAATGCTCTGCGGCTTTGATGCTGATGCAGGGTTAGTTGCCTCTGTCTTCACAACAGCAGCAACTGGCTTTGTGGCTGCCACAGTGGTTGACAGTGATGGTTTAGGTTTTGCTTTTGGGGCAGTCATCTCTCTTCTTACACGAACAGATGCAGGCACCTGAATCCAGAACCAGAGAAGAAGACTTTAAGTCAAAGGACATAACGCCTCATCAGAGTTATAAATAAAACGTGTTCAGTGTTCATGTAGTTGTGGGATATAAAGACAGAAAACTTTCAAGGCCTCAAACAGAACAATGTCAAGTACACCAGGCCTACCGACAAAAGTCCAATGATGGAAAACATAACCAGCAACAGAAGAATCAACTCACCATGGCTGTAAGTTCTGGTGTGTGTTGTGCTAGTGGCCTCTTAACAACAGTAGGAGCGGCAGATTTGACATATGATGGCTTCTGTGGTGCAGGAAACCTGTTTACAGCATAATCATCATCCTCAAAGGTAGGAGGAGGACCAGGTGGAAGTGGCGGCCTCATCATTGGAGGAGGTCCAGGTAGAGGACCATATGGCGGCCTGGGGAGTATAGGGACCATCATTCCAGGGGGAGCAGGTTGGTTCGCGAGTCCAGGAGTGGACAATGTTGGCCGCATATCTGGTGGCGGTGGGGGTGGAGGAAAATGTGATATTCCAGGGGGTAATACATCAGGTTGCAAAGTTGGGATTAGGTTGGGTCCAGGCACTGGAGCCCGTTGCCTTGGTGGAGGTGGTGGTGGAATTTGGGGAAGATCTTTGGTCAGTGAGGGATTATTGCTTTCAACATCAGATGCAGGATGTTCAGACTGATTACTTGCCGACTTTGGAGGCATCCCAGGTGGAGGAGGAGGTGGAGGAAGTACATTAGACAACTACAGGAGAGACAAAGTTGTGTCATTTCATATGTCTAACAATTCTTTATACATACGGAACATCACAATGAGGTGAATGGTCATGCTTACCTGTATGGCCTCTTTTGAGGTTAGTTCATCAGAAAACACAGTTAGATTTCTATCTCTGTCCGTACCAAGCAGAGGACGCAGTGTGGACTGTTGAAGGGGTGGAGGAGGAGGCAGTGTGGACTGTTGAAGGGGTGGAGGGAGAGGAAGTGAAGGGTGACCGGCAATTTGCTCTTTCGGTGGGGGTCCAGGAGGTGGAGGTGGAGGTGGCAAAGGTGGTGGAGGTGGCAAAGACATAGTAGAGTTAGTTGATGGAGGCTTTGGTGGCAATGGAGGTGGAGGAGGTAACGGCAAAGACTCAGGTAGAACAGAGCCATCACCAGATCCCTTATTAGCAGTATCTGGCAAAGGAGGTGGAGGTGGAGGTGGAGGAGGTGCAGGAAAAGCGCCATCTTCTGATTCTGTAAATGATGATGATGCGGCACCACTTGTTGAAGCATCAGATAAAGGAATTCTAGGCCCTGTATTTCACATTCAATTAGAAGATGTGTGTGTGTGTGAGAGAGAGAGAGAGAGAGCAAGGAACAAACAACATCAAGTTATATTTAAGCCAGCCCAGATAAACAAATAAATAAACACACCTAGAACAAACAACATCGAGTTATATTTAAGCCAGCCCAGATAAACAAATAAATAAACACACCTATTGATGATTTATACATTGGAGGTTTTCCGGGTGGGGGGGCCCCGGTAGGATTCAGGGTTGGATGGTAGTAAACGGAATCCTGCAGCAAAAGTACAAAAATGGGGCTCATAAGAGAAAGAAAAATGTAAAATAAAATAAAATAACCATTAGACACAAACAAACAGAATAAAACATCTAACTCACTTCAGGTTTAGGATGCTTGACTCTCTCTTCCTCTTCTGCAGTTGTTCGTCTTCGAGGTGGTCCCAAATGACTATGAAGCAAACAAGCTTTAGTTTGGAATTCAAGGCAAAACAAACTCTATTAAAGCAGTCTAAATCCAGCACAAAATAGAATCAGGAAGACAGAATTTTCACCTGAACATAACTGGAGCCTCACCCTTCTCCTTCATTTTATCTTGGACTTCCTGTCCAAAGAGTAAATAAGACTGATAATTAATTACACGGAAATAGCTAATCCTACCTCCATATATACAGTCAGCATCCATAAACAAACACGCATACACAAGATAAAAGAGAGTCTCTGTAAACTACTTTAAAAAGTTAGAAATGAGTCGAGAACCCTTTACAAAAAACTCTAAAACCAAGAACTTCATCAACCACAAGCCACGAATGAAACTGAACAAAAAACTAGAGAACACCCTTCCAGTTCATCAGAGTGATTGTCAATTACCTTCCGCTTCTTTAGAACAAGATTGAGTGTGTCCTCTAGCTGTCTTTTCTTGTGTTTCCGCGCTTTGTCCAGAGCACCATCAGCCTCTGCACCAAGAAAATAATGCAAGCATATATTAATAGGGAAAGCAGTGTGATTAAATAATTAAAAGAGCAACGAACTAGCTAAAGTGCTGCACTTCAAAAATTTCTTAATGAATGGGCACAATAAAATGTTTCATTGTTTCTCTATTCCTGTCTGTTGTTTCTTTGAAAATAAACATATTTACATTTGCTTAAAAATTCGAAGGATGGTTTCAACAAGTACACGTAACATGAAAAGCAGAATTCATGAGCAAAAGAAAAAAAAAAAATCCAAAAGATAATTTCAATATGCACTGATAATAGTGTCTTCAGGTTATAGATTATTATTAGTCCACAACACATTCACTTACAAAGAAAATGCTAAAGATTGATTACAAAAAGTTCCACGAGATATAAAAATTCCCGCTTTGAATAATATGCGATGCAAGTCTTCTGCAGCTCACCTCTTAAATCACAAGACATCCTGATCCAAACAAAGCACCCTAACTTTGACCTCCAATAAATTGTTTATTTTACCCTTTTTTCACTAAATGCAAATTATTAATAATATTAACAACAACAACATACGAAATTTCCAGCTTTGAATAATATACAAAACAAGTCTTCTTCAGTTCACCTCTTAAATCTCAAGACGTCCTGATCAAAACTTTTGACCGCTAACAATAACAATCACAAGACTTCGTCATTAATCTGTATACGCAATATTTAACCGACCAATTTTCAGTCAGTGAAGAGAAACCAAAAGATATAACTAACAGTTGTATTTCCATATCATGTTCTGTTTATGCTATAGTACTTTACCAAAGGAAGAAAAAAAAAAGGACAACCTACGCTTAGAGATGGATAGAAATAGACATGATGACTGTGGTTAAGAATCTTCAAATAGACTGTGACTTACTCATCATATTCAACTTGTCAATCTGTTCCTTCAGTGACTCGGGATCCTTCTTCAAGATACCCACCTCCCTCACCTTCTTTCTTTCTTTCTTATTCTGTTAGTCACAGATTAGCACAAATCAGAGGAGTCACTAACGGCCGCACGGCTCAAAGTTTAAACAAAAAAATAAGCCCATTAGGAATGGCAGTGCAATAAAGTTCTACGAAAAACTAATATACAAAAAAAAATAACCTTTAGCGCAATGACATAAGCAGTAACTGAACATACATCATGCATCATCTAAACTACAAATAAGTAGACCAACCAAAAGCCAAAGGCCAACTATAACACATACAAAAGCAAATGCCCCCACGTCCTGACTCATCTTACCCCCTCCCAAAAAAAAAAGGGAAAGAAGTGCCCGTATTTAAAATTAAAAAAATGAAACAAAGTTTACACCCGTTCGTTTCATTAGGTTGAATCACAACTCAAGTTTTTGCTACAGTGTTTTTTCTAACAAAAATTCAATTTTCAATTATTTTTCTACAGTATTTTCTCTCATATGAATTAACTTTTTTACTCAAGTTTTTAACTCATAAGGAGCGAAATGAACGCGTCAAGAAAAAGAAATTGCATACAGGCTAGTTTTAACTATTAAAGCGCATTAAGAGGTGGTTTTTGAATTTACTTTAACGTTATCTAAAAAGAAAGAGTTTTTAACATTATACCTTCTCCTATTTTCTTTCTCTTGCTTTCCTATAATATCCAAACAGCAGCATACACATACATCGAATTATAAAATCAAAGCTTTAAAATGACTAACAATCAATAAGTAGCGTTGCAACCAAAGTCGCAATTTTTTCCCCCCAATTTAACATTCTCAAGCAAGAAAATTTAGGGAAAAGAAAAAACTCGAACTTCCACGATAAACTGAACCAAAACCGACAAAATAACAAACAATTTTCCTCGTTTTCTTTCACATTTTCCTGGAATTTTTTTCCTCGGCAAAAAAACCACTGGAAGGGACCGAATTTCTGGAAATTGGCTATAATATCGATTGAAAAGCAAAAATTACGAATTGAGAAGGGAAAAACAATTCCGAAACCAAAAACGGAAAAAATCGAATAAGAGAATTGGTGGAGAGGATTACCCGCTTCAATTCCTTCTTTCGAAGCTCCTTTCGATAAGCGTCCGTAGGATTCATCGCCTTCCCTCCCTTCGTCGTCTTCATTTTCTCTCTCCTCCTTTTTCTCTTTCAGAGGCCTTTGGGGGCAGAATCCCTGATGAAGAAGAAGAAACTCTTTTATTTATTTATTTATTTTTCTTTTTCGCTAAAAGCTCAAAAAAAAAAAAAAGGAAAAAAAAAAACTCTTTTTTTCTTCGATTTCACGCTCGAGTGCAGAAAATCCCCTATTATACATTGATCCACGGGGCGCTAAAGCATAAAATTACTTATTTATCCCCCAGTTTTAATTCTGGCTTTACTTGGCCCAATATTATAAGCCCTGTTTACGGATCGTATTAGACAAATGAGTTGTTTACATAAATGTCGAGTGTCTTATTTTAAAAACTGCTTATTTAAGGGTTGTTTTTAGAGTGTAATTTGAGTGTAATTTTTTAGTTAAATTTGAGTTATAACTTGAGTTGAAGTTATAACTTAAATAAAGTTGAGTAAAATTGAATAAAGTTAAAACTTAAAAGAACGTGAACTTAAATAAAATTGAAACTTAAATTGTCTTTTTTTGAGTTCTTTAGACAAAAGAACATGCCCTTATTTATTTATTTATAAAGATATCCACTATCATATGTATAAAGACAATTATATCCTCATATAATAAAAAATAAATAAATAAAAGAACCTGTTGGATAATAAAATGGAAACAAATATAGCAAAATCAAGAGATAAAACAAAAGTCAACACCAGTATATCAGATGCAATCACCATTTAACAAAAATATGATCCTTTTAAACAAAAGGAAATTTTCTTTAATGAAAAACAAGGAAAGTCCTGAAACTTTTAAAACAGGGGCTGCTTTATTTTTTTCCAAAAAGAATACAAAGAATAAATACAAAGAACAGATAATTTCATTATTTACATGATAAAATTATTATAAAGAAGAATATATAATAATCCACTATGAAACATAATATATGATAAAAAGGAATAAAAAAAACTTAAAAACAGTTAATTAAAATGAACATGGAATATTAAATTATATAAAACACAAGAATATATATTATATATAGAATAGAAATTTTCATTATTTATTAAATGAAATCATTATGAAAAAGAATATATAATAATTCATTACGAAACAGAATATATGACAAAAAAAAGGAAAAAAAAAAAAACTCTTTTCATTAGAACAAAACATTAAAAAAACAAAAAAAAAACATAGATCAACAACAACGTAAACGCAATATGAGAAAACCAAAAGGATGAGCAACAAGGAAAAAACAGGTTGAGAAAACCAAAGTATAACACCAACATCGCGTTTGAAACTTGTCTTAAAAAGGTTTTTCACGTTTTTAAGAAGAAAAAAATGAAAATAGTGTGAAGATTGCGTTTGGGGTAGCACCATACAAAAACCAAAAATGAAAACGTTTTTGTCTTTATCCCAAAAAGTGAGACATTTTTAAAAACGCGCTGAAGTAGTTTTCCTTTTTCCCATTTTCATTTTCTCCTATCTCTGGGCTATTTTCTTTCCTCCACTTCTTCTCCTTTCTCTTCTCTCTGATTTTTCCGGTCTCTCTCTTCTTTCTCCGGTCTCCCTCTTCTTCATTCTTTTCTCTCTGATTTCTCCGGTCTCCCTTTGTAAACGTTGGCTCTCTTTTTAAAAGTTAGTCTTCTCCTCCTCCTTTTCTTATACTCAGTGCCTTGTCTCTTCCAGTCTCTTTTTTTTCCGGTCTCTCTCTTCTCCAGTCTCCTTCTTTCTAAACGGTGGGCTTCTCGGTGGAATCACAAGAAGGTGGATCTGGGTTTTTGGTTATAGTTTGAGAAGATCTTTGATTCTTTGGTTAGGCACTTCAACTCTGCTCCGTCCCTACTCCCACAAATCAACCTAAGTATGCCCATTAATATGGTGATTTAAGTGTTTAGGTTGGTCTTTTTTTCTAATTTTCTGATGATGTGTTGGATAATTGTTGGTTGAGTGTTTTAAAGTTCATATTTATGTTCTTAAGAAGTTCATATCTATGTTTTGGGTGTTTTTTTTTTTTGCTATTTGCTGATATGTGATGATGTTTATATTTGTGTTCTGGGTTATTTTTTTGCTGTTTGCTGATATTGAGCTTAGGTATTTTTGGATAAATCTTAAGAGTATAAGAATTCAGGGGATTTCCGTATATGTGTGGAATTCTAGTGCGTAGCTTTCAGCTACCAAGCAAGAAAAAAAATCCAAAGAGGGGAAGCAAATCAAAGACCAGAGCAACTAAATGATAAACATCAATCTGACTGCTCTCCCAACGACAAACGTTTCACAAACAACGAAAGCTAAAAATGAAAAAACGTGGAGAAAGAGCTAAAAAAAAAAAAATGAAAACAATAACTGCGAAAAGAAAAAACAAATGATAGTTTTAAAATATTTAAATTTACTTTTTACACACTCCTATTATTTTAAAATTACCCCAAATTATATTTATAGGACTATTAATTCTTCAGAAATAGTAGAAAATATGCCAATATGAAAAGTTTAAGGAAGTATATAGGCCAACTTTTAGTTATAGAAATTAATAAGTCATAACTTGTCAAGTTATGGTTCATAATCAGATAAGTTATGGATAAACTTGTCAAGTTATGGTTCATAGTCAGACAAGTTATGGACAAAAACTGTTATTTATGGACAATAACTTGTCAAGTTATAGTTCATAACCAGACAAGTTATGGACGAAAATAGTAATTTGGCCTATTTATTAACTTATGTAAACTATTGATTTATTAATTTTAATTCATCTCAAGTCTTGGTCTATTTCCCTCTTTCTCTCTTAATTCTTAATCATTTTATTTTTCTTTTCACACCCACTATTTTATTTTAATTTTTATTTTACTATTATCATTTTTATACTTTTCTTTTTTTTATTGAAGCTTTAGGCATGATGTCTTTTTGTTTAGGAAGAAAATATATTAAAATATTTTTGTAGAAAACATAAAGGATACTAAAAAATATAGAAAATATAATATAATAAAAGACACTAAAAAATATAATATAGAAAGTAATATAATTCAATGAATAAAAAATAAATAAAAAATATGGCAACAAAGTTATTATATTATTGAGGTATGATTATATATACAAAATGAAAAATAAATAAACGAGTATAATAAGCATAAAAAAGAACAAAATGGAAAAAAAATCAATTCTACTTTATAAGAAACAACAACAACAAAATAAAACAAAATGATTTGCCCTTTCAAAAATAAAATAATTAAAAAAAAATAAAAAAAACATTAACACAAAACAAAGGAAAAAAAGGCAAAAGAACAAGCACTATAGAATAAATAGCAAAGAAAATTTAGCATAACTCAATGTAATTTTTTAGAAAAGCTATTGAATGGCAAAAATTAAAGTTTTATCATAGATTTCAAAATAGCAATTGTTTGTAATTTGAGAATATGACATGTGGGGTGTGTGAAGGAGAAAAAAAAATCATTATTTTTATAATAAAATTTAATTATGCAATTAAGTCTATTGTAATTGTCCTTTTTTTGTTATTTTACATGAGAGTGTTTTCCAATAAGAAAACATTATTAAAAGGGGGGTGTGAAGGGTGAAGAGGAGTGTGTGAATAAAACCACCCACAAACAAATCAACATAAAATTATAATGATTGATTAAAAAAATCAATTAAAGTGAAAAAGGAGAGAAAAATGTAAAGTATAATTAGAAAAAATCAGACTAAAAAAAGATAAAAATTAACCATATGAAGAACATGCCTAAAAAACTCAATAAGGGTAAAATTAGGAAAAAAAATTTCCCTTATAAAAATCGAATCGGCATTCTTGTAATATTGTATAATAATCGAATTTTTATAAATATAACTTCAAAATTAGGCATTTTATGTAATTATTTTTAGAGAAAATTGGTGAACTCACTATTTGAATGCATTGTCCTAAAATTTTTACCATTTACTCTTGATTAATATTCTTTTGACTAATATAATTTTTTGAGTAAAGAGTATTAATCAAATGTAAATGGTAAAAATTCAAGATCCGTTCATTTTAACAAGAATTTGTCTCCTTTTTCTTTACGTATACTTCCTCAAATACCCTTGTGTACATCTATCACTCTCTCTATAAGTGTGTGTAAAGGGTAAAAATTCAAGATTCATTTATTTTAATGGGCATTTGTCTCCTTTTTCTTTAAGTATACTTCCTCAAATACTTCCGTGTACATCTATCACTCTCTATACATACCAAATTTTCATCACTTCATCTATGTCTGGACTCATGACATGTTGTTTTAGGTCAAGTAAACCCTAATAGGTTGGGAAAAAGTCGAGCTAGCCTAACTCTAAAACCCGACAAGCCAAGATCAAACCGAAAATTTTATAAGGAAAATTAAAATATAAATAAATAAAATTTAATCTGCCCGATCTTTTGAAGAGCTCAAACCTCATAATTACACAAAAATGCCAAAATAATTCATCCACCCTTTTTAGATTTCATTCAGGGTATTTAAGGAAAATTACAATATCATGTTTGCCACTAAAGGAGATAGAAACTACCAAAATGTCCTATCCATCACACAATTGAATAGGCCCCTCAATCACTAAAGACAATTTTACTAAGCAGACGTTTGGTTCATGAATTAAAATATGTGATTAGAACTATTTTTGATTTATATGTATTTTTTATAAAAAAAAATACTGTAAAAAATTATAAATTGTGATTCAAATCATAGTTTAAATCCTTTCTTAAATAATTAAACAAATACTAACCATCGGAGTCAGTGGTGTGGTGGTTAAAGGAATGTCAGTTAAGGCTTCTCAATGCGCCTAACACAGGTTCCATTCTTGCCCGTCCCAACTGCACCTTGGGCCTTAGTTCAGGGCTAGGAATGGGCACTAGGCCCTGTGGTAGGTATACCAGGGCCTTATTACTGATTTGAGTTTAGTCACGTGTAATAAAAAGTAAAAAATATTTAATAAAATTATAACTCAATTTAAATTAATAAATTAAATAGACACAAATTTTCTTAAAATTATTTTAAGGATTTTCTTCTGTGAGACTTTTATCTCGTTTCGGACGATTAAATTTGATCAAAATAATGTAATTCTTATATAGACGTGCCGGTTAAAAGTAGAAAAGTAGAGGTCGTTCACTTTTTGTCGTCTAACTACCTATATTTTTATCTGAGAAGCTATAGTCACTTTTTTACAGTTCTCTCATCTGCCTCGTAGCCTAACACTCCAGTTTTCTCTCTCCCTAATATAAGTTGAGTTTTTCCGCGCGGCTCAGACACCAGTGAGCAAGTAAAGCAACAATGTTCCTCCGCTCCGTCCGTACGTCCATCGCGGCCGCCCGCCGTTTCTCCGCCGCAACGGCGGCGGCGGGGGGCGGAAAGCCCCCGG